AAGGACCAAATATCTCAATGATTTATGGTACATCTGGAAAAATAGAAACCAAAAATCCTTTAATAATGCGTCTTCAAGTGGTGATTGAAAGAGTTCTATCGACCTTTTTCGGAATACAATGAAACCAATTTGACGACTAATGGGGTGGATTCCCATAAGTCATGCAAATATGTTGTATGACAAACTCCAAAAATTGGTATTATCAAAATTAACTTTAATGCGTCCCGGCTAAACAATGGATTGTGCTCAGTCGCAGCCATAGCTAGGAACTTCATGGGTGAGGTGGTAGATTACAAGGCTTACCACGTAGGTTCTACGACAATCAACTTGGCGGAAGCTTGGGCCGCGTGAGAGGCCCACAACTTGGCAATGAATTTCCCAAACCATTCCATCATCATTGAAGGCGAATCCTTGATCGTGATTTCTTGTCTGAAACGGCTCATCGACCCCCTTGCAACCTTTGGAACATCATTGAAGAGTGTTTGGATTTGAAGAATCGAGGAAACGAAGACTTGGTCTACAATCATGTCTATCGGGAAGCTAACAAGCGGCAAACTGGCTCGCCAATCAAGCCTTTTCGTCCCTATAGGGTACAGTAAGTATCAATCTTAGTGATCTTCCTTGGAATCAAGCTTGTATTTGTAAGTCTGATTTATCAGATGATCAAATGCCACTTCATCTATAGTCCAATTTGGATGATCAATAGAAACTGATCCTCATCAATGACCTACTACAATCGGATGGCCATAATGATCTTCAACAAGAAGCTATTAATGTAACCAACTCTAAAAAATTCTTCTCATACTTGGCTTATTTGTATCAAGGATTTTAAAATCAAACTGGATAACAAACCATTCAGGGGTCCGGTTCTTGGGAACCGAATGAATGGCCTATTCTGACAAAAGAAATAAATAAATAAATAATGGTAAAAAATCACTGGATGGTTTGAACAATTCAACCACCCAGATCTGCTATTTGCTGACCAAATCAATGGTTTTGACAAAAAAAAATGGTTCTAAGGTAAAACAGAACCAAGCAGGTGACTGATTTCCGGTTTTTCGGTCCAACCGTCCAGTTTTGAAAATCATGATTTGTACGATGTTTTATACCCTACTGTTTTATGTTTGTACTTGAATTAAATTATAACATTGATTGATATAACTAGACAAGCAATGCATTTGACAATTGACATATAACATAATACATAATTGTTTCGGTGCAATTTAAAACACAAAAATGCCACCATGCTGAATGGCTGGTAAAAGCAGAAACGAATCCACCAGAAACACCCCTGTTGGGGGAAATGTTGAAAATACATTTGCCCCAACACCTGCACATAACCCGATGTAAATGATGGTATTAATGTTTGAAGTTAAATCTATTCAATCAAACACGATTTTGGTATTATAAAGTCAAAACACCTGCATGACAATTACATGTAGGAGTGTTTAGGTCAAACCAGTGGTTTGAGAAATTTTTGGACCAAACCGTAATAAAATGGTTTGGGTCATTCTATGGGATTAATCCTATTATAATATGTAGTCCTACATTAATAACAAATAAAATCCAAATATAAATTGACATGTTAATAAATACCACCTATAAAAGTCATAGAGATTAATTCACAATTTATCAAACATATTATTCACAATTTAAATATTATATATATATATATATATATATATATATATATATATATATATTATACATAAATATATTATTAATAATTTGATTTATGATTTAGTTTAATTTTTAAAATTAAAAAAATTAAATTGAAGCAAAAAATCCAAACCAAACTATTTTTAAGGTCAAACCAGATCAAACCACCAATTCCATTTTGATTCGGTTCAATTGTGGGTCTGGATCATATAATGAACACCCCTACTTACATGCACTCTAAGTGAGAAATGTAACACCACAATTCCAAATGCCCGCTGGTTTGAAATTGCTAATTAATTATAGTTATAACTTATGTTGTTAGTTGGTTTCATGATTACCTTGATTGTATTTCTTTCTATCCATGAGGATTTGCATTGTGTGGACCTATTATTTATTACGTGGTCTAACCAACCTAAATTAAGAAAATATGTAGAGTGTAAAACATTGTATTTTGTTATATTTTGTATGTATTTGTAGTGTTTATATTTGTATTTGTATTCTTTTTAAACTGAGCTTAAATATAAATATAAATAGAAAGCCTATAAAAATTGGGGTTTGTTCCTCACAGCTCCATCCCATCATGTATTGGGAACATCTCCCATGAGTAGTAATAAAAAGTATGGGAGATGATCCTGATGTGTAGCTGAGACTACTTGTGAGGTTGGTGTGAGGAACGCTCTTTTTAAGGAGTAGATATGAATTGTCTATAAATACAATATACAAGATTCTACACCGTACGTATTTGTATTTGTACTCTTCCCAATCTGAGATTAAATACAATATACAAGATTCTGCATTGTAGGTATTTGTACAGGATTTTTAGCCGATTGTACACACCTTATTCGTTTCAGCATCGATGAGGAATTGATTACTGCTACTACTGATTTTGGAAAAAAGGGAATTATTGGTAGTTGTGACACCAAATACCAAACTTGACCCAAGTTAACATTTAACACTATTTTAAACTTGGGCTTTGGGCTAGATTCATTCAAAATCCACTCAAATTACACCCCTACCGTATTTGAACACTTTTTTGAGAGTTGAAATCATCCCCCCCCCCANCCCCCTCCCCCTCCCCCACAAGATAGTTTTCCACAGCACATTCCTGCCGTGTATTGTGAATATATCCCGACGATGCTTCATCATTTCTGGTATTATCATCAGGAGATATTCTGAATACATGGCAGGAATGTGCTGTAGGATGTTGTGGAAAACTATCCTGTGGGGGACTGATTTAAACTCCTTTTCTGATAGAATGAGCTCACTCTGAATTGAAACCTGTATTTTGGGCTCAATTTGGAAAGAGTGTAAATACAAATACAAGGTTTTGCACTGAATATGTTTGTATTTGCACTATCCAAAACTGAGCCTTCATGTTTGTCAGCCCTTATATAATTATTATTTTAGAAAACAAAAAAAAATCAGTTATTTCAGCTGAAGGATACACAAAATAATTATTATTCTTTGAGGAATGATATTTTCAGGATTAGATAAGAATGGAAGGGGGTCTAATAATTAAACTTATTTATGATTTAACACAAATAACTGTCACATCAAATAAAAATATATTGATTTTGCTGGTGTGATAGGAATTTTTTTTTTTTTTGAAAAGCTAACCAATCTTGTTGCTGAATGCACGTTGGATATGCATGTGGGGCGCCCAAGTGTGAGGAGTAGATCCCGTCTCATACTTGGTATTTTGGCGAAAACAAAAATGTCACATCATTTTTTAATAATTAATATAAACAATATTAAATACCAAAATAGTCTTGGGGGTGGGGTCACAGTTTATCGGTTCACTTCATGTAAAGTGAATAGTGTTTATGGTTATAAATGTGGCCAATGGAAAAACAGAACATTTAAAAAAAAATAGAACATGACAAAATGTATTTTATTTATACTAAAAATATATAATAAATGGTTATATAAATAATAATTTTTATTTATTTGAAATATGCTATTTTCCTACACTATATTGGTTATATATCGCAATAAAATGGAATATATTAATTAATTTATCATACTTTTGATTATTAATTCAAACTCAATTTGTTTTTTACACAAAAATAAATCAAACATTTTAGTAAAAACTATACTATTTACTAGTTAGTTTTAGGCTTATAATGCTCAAATTACCAGGAACAAACACTAATAGACTCAATTGACATACCACTTAGAAACAACTAAGAAACTCAACATTAACATTAAAAAACAGACAAGAACCTAATGGGTATAACAACCAATTCATAGAGAAAAACTAGGAATCAATTATACTAATTGAATTCCTTAGAATCTCGCTGGTTGATAAGGTCTCTTGCTGATTGTAGCAGAGGCTTGAGATTTAATCTGACTGCACTAGGATTGTGGGGTTTGGCTACCCCCATTTGTGTAGCCTAATGGAGCCTAAAAAAAATAAAATAAAAGAAGAACATAAAGAAAGAAAGAAAGAAAGAAAAATAACTGAATTCCTCGGAATCTCAGATTGGGAGATGTAAAGTAAAAGCATATTTAATATTTTGAAATCTCAAGGGATTTTAGGAGGTGTTACTTGATTTCATAAAATTAAATTTTTAATATATGTTAATATACTATGATAATCTATAAATTAAATTACTTAATTTAATAATAAATTAATAAAGCTTTGAACTATATTATTATTATTATAAAGTTTTTGAACTAATAATAACATTAATAAAGTTTTTTAACTATATTATTATTACTGCTGCTGATTTAAAATCAGGTATCTAAAACACCAACTCATTTCTGTTGGAATTACTTTCTATCACGTGATAAATATTCTGATATCTAATTAATGTTCTTGACAAACTTGGACCGTCCAATTAGAATTGATTTTGAAACTTTCCACGTCCAACTCATTAATTGAATAGTCTAAGAATTTAGCTCGAATTTATGTGGTAATATTATTAATCCCATGATAACTATAATGGCACCGCAAACATAGGATATTTCAAAAAAAAATATTGTTTTTTATTCAGACGTCGTTATCAGCATATCTTTAGGGTTTGTTTGTTTCCAGTGCAATTTAATTCAATTTGGATGAGAGAGCAAATAGGAAAATACAAACTCTGGTCCATTTTTGCTCCGATTTTCAATTTATTTTGCTTTAATTAGTTTTTATTTTATTGCATCTGACTTTTCTGTGCAATTGAACAAAACTTTAAAAAAAATAAGATGAAAGTCAAAACAAAAATAACTAAAAGTTTGCACTCTCTTTCTTTTACACCAATGCAAATAAAACTGCACTGGAACAAATCAGGCCCTATTGATTAAGCAGTACACTGTACAAGATGCAAAAGCAAACAAAGGCCGTCGGTATCTGACTGTCGTCGCCGAGATCTTACTTCCTGACGGCGGAATCTTGAACTACTGCAGGCAACCGACATCCATCAGGCCATCATCACTCTCCACGTGCAATATAAGAGACAAAACAAATCAAAATAATCTCCTAACCAGAGATTATTCTCTGTAAATCACCTCTCAGCTCCTTGAGGTCTTTGGCTTATTGCTCTGAAGAGAAAAAAATATCCCGGGGACAGGGAGAGAGAGACTCCATTTGGATGTGTGGGTTTGTGTCAGATTCTGTTACATCTCTTGTAATCATATTCATACAATAGGTCTTGCTGGCTGCTGCAATTATAGCTCACCTTTTTTTCTTCTTTCTTCTCTGCCACTTCACCACCTCCCATCAGAGTTCTCGAGGTCTATCCTCCAACACCCCCCCCGCCAAAGTTGTCTTTTCCCCATCTATGTTTTGGGTTTTGGTGATTGATGCGTTTCTCTATTTATTTTTTGATTCAGGCTTACTGTTTGTGATCCAAGCCATATCAGGAAAAAGTCCAACTTTTCATCTGGTTTTTACAGAAGAAAGCATGTTCTTTACCTGTTGCAACGCTTAAAATAATCCAAAAGGAGAACTTTTTCTCATTTGGGTTTTGCAGAGCGGTGCCTTTTCCTCAATCGAATCCATATAAAAGTCCAAAAACTTGTATTTTCTACCTGGATTTGGCGGGTAAATGTCGTTTTTCCAAATCTGTAAATCATTAAATGCCCGAATATTGGAACTTTTCAATCGGGTTTCGGAGGGATCACCTGGTTTTAATCATTGTTTAGAAATAAACGAAGTGTTTGAGCCTTTATATCTCTATTTTGCTAGCAACTCTTTTTGTCAATTCCTGTAATCCAGAAGAAAAGATCTGAGTATAGTTTCCTCATTTGCATTTGAATTCGGAGTTTAATGTCTTCTTGAATAGTCACAATCCTGGATTTTTCAATTGTTACTAAGAATACTTTAGCGGTTTGTTTGGAGCTCCTCTGCAAGATCTGAGTTTTGAGGATTCAACTCGTCAGGTTTCATATCTGTCAAAAAAAAAAAATCTATCGGTTTTCACAAGGTCGAACATTTATACCTGGTTTTACGGAGTATTCATTGTTTCAATATATGGAATTCCCATTCTTAGAGTTATTGGTGGGATCTTCTCATCTGAAATCGATCCAATAGCTTGTATTTCTAAATCTGGGCTTGCAGAGTAATACGTTTTGGAGGTCAAAGTAATGGCGACATTGGTCCCTGGTGTTCTTCTGAAGCTTCTACAGAATATGAATACAGATGTGAAGGTTGCTGGCGAGCACCGTTCATCATTGCTGCAGGTTGTGAGCATTGTCCCTGCTCTTGCAGGTGGGGAGCTCTTCCCAAACAAAGGCTTCTACCTCAAGGTTTCTGACTCTTCCCACGCTACCTATGCTTCCCTCCCAGATGAGCACGACGATCTCATCCTCAGTGATAAGCTACAGTTGGGTCAGTTCATCCATGTTGAGCGGCTGGAGGCTGCTTCCCCTGTTCCCATCCTCCGTGGGGTGAGGCCTGTTCCTGGTCGCCACGCCTGCATTGGCAGCCCTGAGGATCTGGTTGCTAAGCATTCACTCTGCTTCCTCAATTCTTCTGGATCAAACCCCTTGGAGAAGATGAAAACACCATCCAAGGGATTGAATGGTAATTCTACTGCGGATAAAGAGAGAAGCAAAACACCTTCCCAGAAACTGGAGAATCCGAATGGCAATGCAAAGACTGCAGTTTCAGATAAGAAGGTAGCAACTCTGAATAGATCAAGGTCTCTGTTAGCAAAGCCTGTCTTGGATTTGGTTGATAAGAAGGATTCTGGGGTGCGGTCGAAATCTTCCAATTCACGGTCAATCCCTTCATCTCCAACCAGTTGCTACTCACTGCCTCCTTCATTTGAGAAGTTTGCAAATGGGGTCAGGCAACAAGCAAAGATCAAAGGATTAGACAAGCCAACTTCAAGGGTGGGATTAGTGCAAAAGGCAGCTTCTGCTCTTAGAGCAAGTGCATCGGCAAAGAAGCTGCCTGTGGAGAACTCCATAGGGAATGTGGTTAATGGGATTGGATTAGGGACCAAGGCTTTGAGGAGGAGCTGGGAAGGGGGAGAGGTGAAGGGCAGGGATAATTCAAGCTCAAGGGCTGCCAAGCTTGATTTGAAATCTGAATCTCGGAGCACTTCTGTAAGTTATATTTTCTCCTTGAACTTCTTTTATTTCTCTTCTTGATTTGAAAATGTTGAGCCTTCCTTTTCTTTAATGTGCTCTTTTCTCTGGTTTCAATACTTGTATAATATATTAAAATTTTCAAACTCAGGTCGGGCAAAAGCAAATTTCAGCCCCTTCAGCTGTTCTCAGGGTCTTACATGATTCCTAGTATCTTTATTTGCTTATTTACTCAATGTTATCCAGTAAAATTTCTGAATTTTTAGAGATCAAGTTTTAGGTGGAAACTTGTTAGCAGTTAGACCATGAAGTGTCGAGGATCAGTCTAATGGATTTCGACTTCTTGTCTAGACTTTTCTTATATACCATGAATAAATCCCATTATTAATATTTTTCATTGGATACCTCAACTTTTTTTTTAATTTGTTGTTTTCCTCAATTTTGAGGATAAAGACCGCAATTTCTGTTTTTTCTTTCACCGACCCAGTCGTCAGATCATATTTAGTTGTCCTCTATGTAATTCCTTTTTTTTTTTTCAATACAGGCTCCTCGAAGAAAACTTTCAATGAATGGCAAGTCATCTAAAGAGGACAGTAAGGTTCAGATGCCTGCAAAGAAGGTAACAGCAAATAGAGCTGGGGCTGATTCTGATAAGCCAAATAAGCAACGGGTTTCCATTGGAAAGAAAACATCAGGTGAAGTTGCTGGTAATGGATTCCCAGGAAACTTGGTCAAGGTTTCTATCAGTAATAGAAGATTGACAGATGGTAGTGTTTCATGGGCCTCACTCCCTTCCACTCTTTCAAAGCTTGGAAAGGTATGAATCCCTGTAACTTTTTCAGGTGTTCTCTCTATTATAAAAGTTAACAGGCAGCATGCCTGTGAGCATACTGCTTGTTAACTCATATTCACTTAAAATCTCAGTTAGCCATTTCAAAGTTTTTATCCTTAATAGATAAGGCTCTGTGAGAAATTTATGCCACTTAACTAAGTGATATAGTGTACTTTGATATTAGACACAGCGATTGGATGTTTCTTGTGTCTTGACTGTCTAAATAGCCTACAATATTAGACACAATCATTTTGAAGTTTGATTTTGCTCAGTTGATTAGAACATTATGTGACAATAGCCTATGACTTTTAGGCAGTTATCTGCAAGATGTTTATCATTGGATGATCAAAATCATTAATTAGTTTTACTTTGGAAGTTTGCTCTCTATACATGGCTGTTGCAGTTGGACTGTCTGGATTGATGGAACATTTTGTATTTGATGCTAATATTTAGAAATAGCATTTTCTGGTGCATTATATTTGTGTCAAATTCTCCCATGGTTACCAACAAGACTAGGACCTTAACTTATCCTTATTTTATTTTTTATATATTCTGATTTTTGTTTTATATTTATTTATTCAGGAAGTTCTGAAGTATAGAGATGCTGCAGAAATGGCAGCTGTTGAGGCCATTCAAGAAGCTTCTGCGGCAGAGAGCTTAATTAGATGTTTGAGGTAAACACTAGGAAACATGATTGCTGTACATAGTTTTTTGTAGGATTTTGAATCTGGCTTACAAATTGACAGAAACATAACTATTGATAAAGCATAATGGCAGGAGGGTTTTTTATTTTTTATTTTTTATTTTTTATGAATTGGTAGGAGAGGGTTTTAGTAGCTGAGTTTATTTGAATTGATTCTTTTGACATTGGAAGGATCTAATTTATTTAATTCTTTCTTTTCTCCCATATCCTTATCTCTTTTGGTCCATTGAAAGGGTGCTTGATGCCATTTCCATGCTTTACCCTTTCCTTGAATCTAACAATATATAGTGTTGGATTCTTGAAGATCATTACTCAAGTTAAAATCAACATAGGTGTAATTGTTCCATGATCACATCAATGTAAGAAGCTGAAGCTTGCTGATATAGCACATAAGTGATTGTAACTGGTAAACACCAGGAGCTTTTGGTATGATGATTCAATGTTAAGGTTGATGGAAACTTCAGGAGAAACTTCAGAGGCATTGTACGATAGGGAAAAATATTTATATTATGATAAAGGATTGATGATAACTCTCTGTTGCAATCAGATTGGCCTAAAGGATCCTGATGGATCAAAAACCTAGGGTAGCTCTTGGAGTATCTGATTATGATTTTGGTGTATATTCAGATGTTCTTGTGGTTGCAATTTAAGTTGCAGACCCATTGCAAGATGGAGAGTTCTGAGAAAAGAACTTTTGGGTTTTGGATTGTTGTAAGCCATGTATCTTTCTCCCCTTTGGTCACTCATGTTGTTTCTGTTTCTGGTAAACCAATGAAGTATCCACAATGCCCCAGCACAATTTTCTTGAATATTATTGATATAGAACCACCTACTCTAATACCGAGTTGATGACTTCATGTAGGATACATGCTTTAATACCAAATTGATGTAGGACTGGTGCTTTGATAATTGACTTGCGTAAGGTGACTATGACGCAAGGAGTCTAGGAAATTTAGGGTTGATTTCAGCACTAAAGGTCGAAATCAGTTAAGGAGGGTCCTGGGGCTTGACTACAAGAATTGCAGAGTTTGTCCTAAAACTGTAAAAGCTTCAAATTGAGGAAAATAGGTCTAGATTTGGAATTTTAAATGGAATTTTGTACGTAAACTTGAAATGGATAGATGTAATACATCAATTCTTACTATCCTATCAAAAAAAAAAAAAAGGAAAGATCAATTCTTAGTAGTGCTGTAGATGGTCATCTCTGCATGTGTCCAAACCATCTTAATCTACTTTCCCTCATTTTATCACCTATTGGATCTGCTCCTAGGTTTCTTCAATAATAACAACAATAAACAACACAATATTTTTCTTGTCTGGTCCCAACTATTTGTGGTTTGGGAGGGGTCAGGGTGGACTGGACGCAGATCTAACCTGTCATCATCATGATCATTATCAGGGAGTCAAGTCATCAGATGTTGAAATTTTGAATTTTTATGTATTTTGTATCTTTAGGTAGTAGGGGCACTTTGGTCATTTTACATGTTATTATTTGGGTTTGGCCTTGCATTTTGATTTTTCCATTCATAGTTCAGTTGTGTTTAAAAGTTCAGTAATTGGTTAAGTAGTTTAGAGAATCTTCTCTTTTCTTTAAGGTAGAGTATGAATGGCAAAATTGTAATTTTGAGTTTTCTTAGCTTAGGTAGGATTTTGACTTGCCCTTTCTTTGTAGAAATATTGAAAGTTTGGCATACCTTAGACAGTCTATATATGTGCATATTATTGTATAATAAACCCTTACGAGAGATGGTCATTTATGTTGATATATTTGTATTTTGTAAAATGTCTCCAAATATTAATTGAAACCAGATGTCTTAAACTTGCAGCAATAGGCAGTAATATTGGAGTCCGTGTGGAATGGTTCTTTAGTCACTAAGGCTATGTTTGGTTTGATAGAAATAAGAGAATAACAGTAACTTGAGGGAAAGTTCTTATGTAATTTCATAAAATTCGGCAAGAATTTCCCCTCAATTTTCTGTTTCTCTCTTATTTCCTATCAAACCAAACACAGCAAAAGAGTCCTATTTAGAGTTGAATGAGTCTGGCCATTGTTTAAGTTTCTTAAGGGGTCTTGGGTTGAAGTGAGCAAATGTGGTAATGCTCAACTCTTTTTCCAGCTAATGCTGAAGTCAAACACCTCCAGGTTCATGGGAAATGATTGAGAAGCCAAATTCCTTTTAATTCTGTGTGTCAAAGAAAAATTTAGAAGGAAACAGATTAGCCTTCTATTATGAAATATGAAATGGTAATACACCTTAGGTGGAAATGCTATGTATAGAAGTTTTTGTAGTCTTTAGTTCTCAATGTTTGATGGTTCCTTTCGTGTAAAACCCATAAGAAATGATTCTTGATGTTTGAACTCTTTTGATATGATATTTTCTCTTTTGCAGCACGTATGCTGAGCTAAGTATAACTGCCAAGGAGGATAACCCACAACCTACGGTTGAGCGATTCTTCAGCCTCCATGCAAGCTTGACCAAAGCTCGCCTTGTGGCTGATTCTCTATCAAAGACAATCCCGGCAGGGTCATCAACAGATGGTGAAGACGAACCATCAGAAGAAGAATTGAAGATCTCCTCAGAGGGGCGTAAATATGCAGCTTCATGGGTCCAAGCTGCATTGGCTACTGACTTATTATCCTTTACAGTATTTAAGAAACAGCCAGTTTCCACCGTGGGTCCAGCTGTAATTACAGCTGCAAGTCAAAGGACTACCACTAGTAATCATCCCATGTTAGTTTTAGAGAACTCAGCCAAGAATTCAACAACAAAGACCCAAACCAAAACTCGCCCTTTAGCTTGGTCTAAGCCTCTTACAGCTGCGACACTACGCCGAGCTGGGGATGGACTAGCTGTAGGTCAAAAGACAGTCGCAACATCTCCACCCCCTGAATGGATCAGAGGAAACGGTCTTGATGAGGCTGTTGATTTAGCCCAGACATTAAAGACAGAGTCTCAAGACTGGTTCTTGGGGTTTGTTGAGAGGTTCTTGGATGCTGATGTGGATAATTCAGCCTTGACAGATAATGGTCGGATAGCAAATATGCTGTCTCAGCTCAAGAATGTGAATGACTGGTTAGATGAGATTGGTTCTGCTAAGGATGGTGAAGAAGAACCCTGCATTCCTGCTGAGACAATTGACAGACTTAGGAAGAAGATCTATGAGTATCTCCTTACACATGTAGAATCTGCTGCAGTTGCTCTTGGTGCTGGAGCACAAACAGCACCACCAAGCCAAGCAGCAGAAAATAAATCAAGAAGATGACATGATGAATATTCTTCTGGACAGACTTTCATTATATCTTACCTATACAGCTTTGAGGAATTGAAGGTGAGCCATATTATATTGTGTGGACAGATCCAACTTAGCCACCAAGTGGTTAGGGAGGGGCATTTTTCTGATTCATGTATATATAATAGATCCTGTGCTGGGGTATACATGAAGTACTCTCATAATTTATTATCATGTGAAGCATTTGATGAGATGTGAAGAGTGATTGGGGTTTGATTTGATTGAAGTTATTCAATTACACCATTCAAGAGAAAAATGTGTATATATAAAATTCATTTTTATCAAAATTTGGTTTGTTGTCTCTTTAAGCTGGAACCAATGTTTCATCTTCTGTAGCCACTGTAGCATGATGGATTACGAGTTGGAAAGGGTTTTATGAGACATTATTTACAAGGTAAGTGGTGTCTTTACTCAGGGTTGTCTTAACAGTTCACACCCAGACACAGGTGTAAGCTAGATAGCTTTTCTTTTTTTTTTAGATAGGCCCTACTTGTGTCCATTGGCAAAGCACTGATTGAAGGCACAGGCTGGCTGGGCCTGCAGACAGAGGGATTAGAAGGTCCTGGTTCTCTGGCCGTACTCAGAACATTTCACTGCTACTCCACTGCTGTTAGGCTGTATCTGGGTCCACTGGAGGAGAAATTCCACCTGACAGATGGAGCTAGAATCTTTTACGGATTCAAATAGCACCAACTAAGAGTGTGAATAATTTATTCAAACAAATGTACACAAGTGATGGCTTTGAAATTAACCTTGCAAGTTTTCTCTGGAAGTATTTGGTTCTCCCAACTCCCAGCTCCCAAGTGTGACAAACCCTACACAAGTAGCCCAGGTAGGGTGAATAATTTTGTCCTGTCCTATGCCTACAGTACAGTTGTGTGCAAATCCAATTTGTGATGAATTATGGATGTACTTCACAAAGACTGGACCACGGTGTTGGGTCATTGACTGAGAAAAAACAAAAAGCTATAAGTGGATTGCAATCCACCTCAGAAATCTGAAATTGCAGCCCCTCCTAATTTATTAGGATTCAGTCCATCTCTAGAAATTTTAGCTCCACCGTAAGGGTGAATTGAACAAACAAAACCCCAAATAAAAAAAAAAAAAGAATTAGAGAAAAATGAAAAATGTCAATCCACTGGAGCTAAGATTTATAGAATGGACTGAATCCTGCCCGTAGATTGATGTCAAATTTATGAGTAGGATGCAGTTTATGGGGAGGGGGGGCTAGGAGATTTCTGAAGTGGATTGCAGTTCACTTATCCCTAAGGAAAAAACTAAGGGTCCACTTGGTTTGCAGGCAAGGTTGGAATTGGAATCAGAATTATATAATCTTCATGCCTGTTTGATTTAATTCAGAATCAGAATTGGATTCCAATTGTTTCTGTTTGGTTCAAGTAGAAGTCAGAATTGGAATTAGCAAAAATTTCCAATTTTACCCCTATTACAAAAAGAAGAAGAATAAGAAGAAGGAAAAAGGAGAGTGGATCTTACCTCGCCGGAGAGGGGTCAGCAAAGGTGGAAATAAGAGGGACCGTTGATTTCCCCCATATGGGGAAATCCCATTCCACCTAGAATGGAAATAGGATTCCCATAATCCCATTCTGCTCAATCAAATGGTAGGAACCAGAATGGGCCATTTTTCGATTCCAGACTCCTATTCCCTCAAACCAGACAGACCCTAAAAAGCAATCCCCCCACCCCCTTCGAACCATCTTTCCTCCTAAATTCCTTTGACCAATGCTTTGTTAAATTTTGGGGAAAAGTACGGACAGACCCAATTCAGAATTCTGAATTCCAGCCCAGCTATAGCAGAATCCAAAAACATATAACTCCACTCTTTGAAAAGTTAGGACAGATTCCCACACCACGTAGGAATTATTGTCTTGACTAATTTTGTATCAGGCCAACATTACTTTAATATCAGTCTCTCATTTTTCTTTGAAAAGATAAAGATTAAAATGCCCTTATTACAAAACATAACTCATTCGAAGAAGAAAATGTTTGAAGAAAATGCAATCTCATCCTAGTAAATGTTTACCAAGATGGCACATATAGCCCATATATGCCTAATGGCCATTAAGAATTTTGAATTCTTCAAAATAAAACTTTTCAAAACACCATTTCCCCTTTAAAAGACAAAGACTAAAATTCCCTTGTTACAAAACATGAGTCATTCGAAACTTTGTCCCTCTTTTCCACTCTCTTCCTCCCTCTTTTTCCAATCATTGCATTCTCTCCCTCTTGTGTTTCTACAATGTGAGCTAATAAGCTATCTCAAACTAGGGGTGCAACTTAGGCAGGCCCAACCCGAAATTTTACACACGCTGGGTATGGATTTTCAGTCCTCAAGTTGGGCTCGGACCCAAGAAGTCAAGTTTTTTTTTTCGGGTCGGGCCCGGGCCTAGCCCTTAAGGTAGCCGGAATGCAGCCTAAGCCCAACTCAACCATACATATATATATATATATATATTGTTTTCGGGTCGGGCCCGGGCCCCGGCCTAGCCCTTAAGGTAGCCTGAATGCAGCCTAAGCCCAACTCAACTATACACATTCATACATACATACATATACACATATATATATATGTAAATTTTGCATACACATTATATATATACACACAGATACATATACATATACATATACATATACATATACATATACATATACATACATATACATATACATATACATATACATACATATTTTGCATGCATATTTTCATAAATACATATATCTATGTATAATTTTAAAGTGGATTTATTGATCAAACTCGAGCTCGGCCCGGGCCCGAGCTCAATCCGAGTGCATCAAATTATAATGTAGGCTAGGCATGGGTTGGGAAGATCGGGCTTGACCTTAGGTTCTAGGCCTGTCAATGATACCCGAAAACCCAAGGCCCGATCCAATTGCCTTGGATTTGGATGGTGTATATATGTAATCGGATCGGATTCGAATGTTACAATCTACATCCGATTAATAATCAATTCGGATTTGACCTCATCCAATCCGATTAAAATCTGAATTTGATTATAATAAATATTTTATTAATTTTAATATATAAGTTTTATATAATTATATTCAAAATTAAAAAATATATATTCTATATATTATACTATATGTGAATTTATATATAATAAATTTAGTGTGTTATATCTATATTAATAAATTATATATAAAGGTTAAAAATAAATAATTTTTCACTTTTTCTGGTATTTTAGAAAATTTATAGCAAAGTCAGATTAAATCTGAATCCAATCCGAGCCTGTTAGAATTCAGATTCGAATCCAAGTTTTTAAATCCAATCGGATTCAGGTGTATGCTATCAATAATCGGATTGGATGTAGCAAAATCTACATCCGATCCGAGTCTAATCTGATTATAGCCCTATCAAGTTCAAGCCTTAAGCCCAAATTTTAGGGTTGGACCCAGGTTGACCATAAACCTAGCCCAACCCAACCAATTTGCACCCTATCTCAAATCAGGTTTTCTTTCTATGTTAGTACGAATTTATCAATTTAGCAAAAAAAAAAGATATTTACTTGATTTTTATTATGGGATGACTTTCATGTTATAAGTTGCATATTGATTACTTCATAACATTAGTCTTGAAGTCTTGAATGCCCAAATTGCCAACCAAGTGGACATTTAGAAAGATGGATCTAAAATATTGGCTAAGCCCATTGGTAACATAATAATTTGTTTTTATTTCTTTTTGTAACATAATAATTTGTTTTTATCATATAAAGTGATGGCTATTGTCTATTCACATTAGCCTTGAATGCCTCATTTGCTAAATTCTCTTTACATTCTATTTGGCAACAACATACTATATTTGCCAACTTAATAAAACTTTACAAAGTTGGAACTATGGGACTAATTATAAGTGTGGGGATATGTGGCAGTCATAACAAATGTTTATATTTTGTTTAATAATAAATCAAAAATATATTAGACATAATTGTGTTATTACACTTTGATTGCTCTCTCATAACAATTATATATGAATTCAATATTATCCTAGTAAAAATTTACTAACGTGGATTCAAGATGTTGGCTAAATTCATTAGGAAGGATATAACCATCCTCACTTGGATAGTACGTTTCATGGCAATTAATTCAAAGACAATGACATAAAATATTAATTATTGTATGCTCACTTCTCCTTAATGGCCATTTGGCAATACAGGGTCATATCAACCAACCTGGTGAAAATTTACCAGAATGGAATTAACATGTTAGTTTTAAATCTAAAGACATGCAAAAAACATTATAGATATGTAATATTGTTTGATAATGGAAGAAAGATATACTAAGTACAGTGGTGTTATATTTTGGTTATCCTCCTATAATGACATTATATACCCTAATTGCTAGCTTGGTAAAATTTTATCAAGATGGGTTTAAAGTGTTGGCTAAGTTCATTGGGGAGAACATGGCCATCCACATTTTGCTAATATGTGTGCACCATTTCCTTAATGGCCATTTAGTTATTGTAACATAATAGTATTGGTTATTCTGTGCACCATCTCCTTTATGGCCATTTGGAAAATATGAGCTTATAGCTTATATGTGTCAACTTAGTAAAATTTTACGAAGATGGGATTAAGGGATTAATTTCAAATTTGAGAACATGCAAAAACTATCACAAATGTATAGTATTGTTTTATCACAATTAACGTAAGGATAGTGATATAATAGTATTGGTTATTGTATATACACCATCTCCTTAATGGTCATTTGGCATATATGGGCTTTATGTTCCAACTTGGTAAACATATATCAAGATGAGATTGCATTTTCTTCTTTGAATGTATCATATTTTGTAATAAGGGCATTTTAGTTCCAACTTGGGAGACTAACATTGAAGCAATGTTGGCTTAACAACAAATCAGTCAAGATAATAATTGGGAATCTGTCCTAACTTTTCAATACGTGAAATTATATGTGTTATGGCTGGGCTGGAATTTGGAATTCTGAATTACGCCTGTCCATACTTTTTCCTAAATTTTGTTTCCTATCTCACATCACTTCTGTCACAACACTCACTGATCCACTCTTTACCAGGATTTCCCTTCCATAAAATATGCTTTAGAATACTCCCTACTTTCATATGCTCCATCCTACTTGCATGCTCTATAGCACCAATGAATATGGGAAAAACTAGGCAGCATTCGGCAGAGTTGCCTTTTTAGCCATTTCTGTTTGCTGGTTGTTCATAATCAGGCAATGTCCTCAATGTTTCTGCTAGAAACATGTTTGATAGAGACTTTCTATGTAAATATTTCAGTATTATATATGTT